GCTAAACCATACTTGACATACTTAACACTTCCCTTCCTCTTCTTCCCCCCATTCTCCGCAGATTTCATCGACCGTGCCGCACTTATCAATGCAGCATTCATCATTTCATCTATATCTTCAGACTGATTATTAGATTCAAGATCTTATTTCTCTTCACATTTATCATTAGAAAACAGCCTCTACAACATTGTCCTTTGCGTTCATTTGAACTCTTTCCTGAGAAGTCACTTAATTTGAGCATCGGCAATGTTAAAGCAACGCATCATAAGTGCATTCGCAAATGATATTCCTCCTTATCTCTCAACGTTAGTTACACGCTCTGCCAAAAAGAAACAAAACAACACTAGGGGACTAATTAGAGTTCCACAAGTGGGTCCCGCTTAGTGGAATATCCAACGGCTACGATCGGCTTCAGAATTTGAGTATTTCAACCATTATCTTACAAGTTATTGGTCCGGAAACGTGGACCCTACCTCAAAAGAATGACCAATCAGATTTCAGAAAATCAAGCAAGAAGAGAATCAAACCCAAATAAGGTGAAATTTTGTCTCTTTTTTATTTTGTTTTCAGTTTCTGGTTTCTGGGTTCTTACTATGCGTGGGTGTTAGATCTTGGAGCATGAAATTATTGATTCTGATTGAAAAAAGAGGAATCTGATTGCATTCTGAAGATTGATATTGAAGAAATAGGGGATAAGCTTGAGGTAAAAAAGAGTAGTTATATATAGTTTATGTTGAACCTCAATTCCTTTTATCTTCAAAGATTTTGAACTGGTTTTGTTTGTAGCTTGTTAAACAAGACCAAGAGGGCATTGCGATTCTGTGTGCAAGACCGTTGAGACTTCTTGTCAGAAGGTGATTCACTTTTGTGTTCTTTACATGGATCATATAAACCAGAATGACGATTTCTTTTAGCATATATAAGACTTTAACGCGAATGTGAATGTTTTTATCCTGTTTCTGTGTTCTCTAGGTCATTGGTAAACCAAGGAGATTGCTTGAGGATTACGGTTTCAAATGTGACTGTGATCGGTGCAAGGTGGAATCTAGCTGGTCGGAAGATGAGAACGATGTCATGGACGAATTCAATTTCCCTCCAGCATAATTCTTTGTAAGATGTATGTGTGAGAAGGAGAATTGTTTTGCCTGTTGTTTGAGTGTTGCGTGATGTTGGCATTTTTTCTACTCAGTTTTGGAAAAGGTAATCCAACTTTAGAATTCTGTTTTGGAAGAATAAATTGAAATGTTATGTGGAATTTACTTGGAAACAGATTTTTTTTGATAAAATGTGAATATTTATTACCAAATGGAACATTGAGTTTGATTACAAGAGCTTTTAGCAAACAGCTATTTTGGCCAAAAAAAATAAAAACCATTGGAGCTAAGTTGTGAAGATTTTGAGTCTTAAGATCTTGAAAGCCAGAAAGGGAGTCGTTTACACCCTTTTATGCTTGTAATCTCTATAACTATGTGCTTGAAATCATCAAAAGCTGCTACAAACTCAAAAACATATACAAATCAGGAGCAACATACTTAAAATATTCATTAGAACGAATGATACAAAAGTGTTCATTTATAAATTCATCATCGACCTATCTTAATATGTGACTGGTATCACATGAGGTAGAACAAAAGTATGAATCTACTCCGGCCCTGGAAACTTTAAGAATCGAAGGGAGCTTGCATCGAGATTTACACGTCGAGCAAACTATTCTACAAATAGAAGTATTGGGTACAACTTCTTTATGCCATCTTGTTAATGAACCTACTCGAACTGGCATGATGTACGAGAAGGCTCCCACAACGCAAGAAATATGCAACACAACCCCACAATCATTGCAGGTATAGAACCATTTCTTCGGATTCAGTTTTGTTTCACATGCTTCGCACCAATATTCGCCGTCCACTCTGCTTTTACCGTAAGATAGGAAGAGAGGATGGTCGTCGTACCTTTGCCTCATTATCTTTTGCGGTAACATGGCTTTCCTCATGTCCAAGCTATAATCACACTCATCACAACTAAGCATTCCTCCGTCAGTGTAGTATAAAGGATGTGGATGGCTTTCGTGCGCAAACGGCTCCGTAATTGAACCGCATCGTACATCTAGAATATTGTGACTAGCAGACTTGTACACGAAACCAGTGAACTTTCTATGACAAAGAGCACAAATATTTCTTTTGGCTTCAAAATTTGTGTGTAGCTTGAATGGTTGGTTGTGGCAAACATGTCTTTTCTTTTGAGAGATATTAGCACATCTTTCGTGGAGAATGAAATCACATTCCTCACAACTGTAGAAAGACTCCGCATAAACTTGGAAGACACATGCTTCACAAAGTCTGTTTTCTTCAAGAATCATACCATCATCCTTGTTGAGTCGTAAATAGTGATCATGGCTGAAATGTTTTATCGTACCATCATCAAGCACCTCGAATGGAGCAACTAACTCTACTTCAGCTGTTCCTTCTAGCTCGATCTTGTCCCATACATCTTTTCTTGTTGCGCATCTTGAATGAACGACATAAGTAGAACATTTTGAGCAAGAATAAGCCCCGTAGAACCCATCCACCTTTTTACGACAAACTCCACAAGTCCAGTTCCCATGTCCGAGACGAAAAGTGTAAGAGATGGGATGATCATGGCGGTTGATGTTTATGAAGCAGGGTAAATCGATACAATCTCGATGAATCATGAAATTGCATTGAAAACAGAAATAAGGGCTGCGGTTACCTTGCGTCCCACAAGCATTGCAAGTAAAATCGATACATCTTGGAAAAAGGTTAAGGTGATGCTCGTGAGTCTTCAAGCTCATAACACTAAGTGGTGGTGGGTTTCCAGCACAACCTTTGCAAATGCTGAAGTTACAAACATCACAATGGTAAAGTCGTTGATTAAACTCCATCCCGCAAAGAAGACATTTCTTGTCTGCGTAATCGGGTACTTCTTCACCATTAAGAAACTTGAGTGGGTGTTTGGGGTGAGTAGTGTGCAATTCTTCTAGACAGAGCTCAGTACATCTCACATGGAAAAAAAATTTGCACTGGTGACACTCGTAATATTGCTCGAGTTTGTAAACTTCCGAGCTGCACACTTTGCAGTTTCTGGTACTTGAAGACAACTCAGACCCCACTCCATCTGAGAGTACAAGCGGATGCTCGTGCGTGTTGGAATTTTCGAGAGTACGAGGTGGGTTTGGTCTCCTTGCACAACCCAAATCCAACTTGAAATCACAGATGGAACAGAAATAACCTGTTGCAAACCAAGACTGACATACACTACAAATGGAAGATTGGAATCTTCTTACGAGCTTGAGAGGGTGGTCCGGATGAGAAGAGTGGTTGATTTCTGGTAAAGACTCGGCACATTCTTTATGAAATATAGTGTCACAACCCAACTCATTGCATCGATAGCCTCCATAAATGTAACCATGAGACCAGCAACCTTTACATAGACCAAGAGAAAAGCGAGTGAAAGGTAACAAAGGATGGTCATGAACTGGTAGCTCCACTTTTTCCATGCTGATTTTTGAACTTCCAAAATACAAATCAACGTCTAAGCTCTTCTCTTATGTGGTAATTTGAAAACTGGTTTCTTCTTTTTTTGGGATCTTTCAAAGTGTTTCGCAAAAGTGTTGGTATAACACAACTTTTCTTTAGATCTGGGTGATTCACACGACCTTCAGAGACAGCTAAGTCAAACAATGTTTAATTCATTTTTAATTTGATTACCAATATGATAATATGCCAGATCTTATCTTACTGTCCCCTACGCACACTATTCATTGTTAAATGTTTACAATAAAAATAGTCATGAAGTCAACGGAGCATGTTGTGTATAACTCTTACAGGGTTTACCAAATTATTACCAATTTTCGGAAACTGGTTTTTGGAGTCTTAACACGTTCGTCAAGAAAATACGATAGTTTAATGATAATCCAAATTTTGATACAGACAGTAATAAGTAATGGTTACGAATCACGAGGCAAAAATGTGAGGGGCAAATCCGATTTGAGTCGGGATATGTTAGCCGTTGCTTCTCTCAAGAATTATATTCAGTCTTTAGCGGCAAGTTTAACGTACTTCCCATCAACCGTGAATCTGGAGCTCGAGTTCACCTGCAAGAAAGAAAACAAGCAATATGCTTCAATGTGAATATATTTTTCTAAAGGGAGAACAAATTGTTCGTAATTAGGCAGATGAGATCCTCTGACCTTCAGCTCTAGCTCTGCCTTGAGCTCGGATTTGTCTTTAGTTATGCCTGAATCCACAAGAGATTCCAGAACCAGCTTCTTCAGTTTCTTCATCTTTAAAGTTTTATCTTCGTTCTGTATCAATACAAATTCATAGATGTGTTACATTATGTAGTCACATTCCATTGGCACTTATTGGATAATGCAAGCTGCAAAAAAGAAGTTAAATCGAAACCAAAAGTCGATAGCTACTTACAGATTTCAAAGCCGCTGTGATCAACTTCTTCCAATTGATTTTCTTCTCATGGTCCTGCTTCTTTGCTTTCTTTACTTCACCACCTCCTCTCACTTCTTCGGCTTCAACTACCTCTCCGTTGTTCACAGTTTCATCCAAAGTCTCTAGCTTTCTCTTTTTCTCAACATTCGCAACCCCTGAGTCGACATGTAAATCTTCTTTCTTCTGTTCCAAATCACCATTAGAAGCATTTTCGCTCGCATCCTTCGTATCCACCGTAGATTGTTCTGATTCTTGTTGTTTCGCATGGAAGCCTTTTGCTTTTCCTCGGTGTTTCTTCCCATCGGCATGGGCAAGCAACGTCTGCTGGCTAGTAGCCTTTGTGTTACACAAACTGCAACCAAATAGATAAATACTCAAAAATACATTTTCAATCACAACTCTACATTGGCTCTATCAATCCAAAGAAAAATAGATATACTATACTCCTAAACAATGTAGACGAACCTCTATACATCAAACTGCATCCATGTCTAAAGCTGGAAATTGAAGGAAGGGTAGAAAGATGTGTATACCTACAAAACCATGGATATCGGTTCGATAAGCCGACAGTTATATCGAAATCGGGCTGTTGCTTGTCCTTTGGCTTTGCAGGTGTGCCATTAGATGCCTTTGACTGCCCTTTTGGACCATATTTCTCCTAAATACATTAAAACAAAAACAATTCTTCAATCTCTTAATCCAATACATAACCAAAACCTTTATAATCCAACTCAATTTGTTCCATAGAATGCATTAACCATAAGAGATGAACAAAACAGCATGAGAAATGGTAAAAATCACTTACAGCTTCGGTAATGCACTGGGTATGTCCTTGTGCACTATCTTTCCCAAACATTTCTCCACAATCGATGCACGATAACTATTGATTTGGCAACAAAAGCAAACAGATTTTTTAACAGAAGAATCATCAACACAGAGATTCAATTTTAAGAAAGAAGAAATTATAAATCGAGACCTTTGTGGCACTGCACATTCTGAAGTGATTCGGGAGCTTTGGTTTCTTCAGATTATCTCCACAGTCCTCGCATTGAAACCAAACCATCGTCTTCCTCTTTCTGATTATCGAAGAGTGAAATTTGGAGGAAGGAGAGAAATCAAATTCTGGGGAATGTAGATCGGAGATGGGTTTAAGACCAGCACAAATTAGGGTTTAAAACATTGTTGATGAAGTGTTAAACAACGCGCTGTTTTGGAATACGAAAACCGACATGGTTTCTTAGTTTCTAACGATGAAACGGCCAGATTTTCTTATAGAGTTCGAGACAGATTTAATTTTGGTCTAACAGAAAAACCGAACCAAAGCCGAATTTACCATACCAAACTGAAGAACCTAAAAATTCAAGAGAAATTCAATCAAATTTTACATTTTTAATCAAAATATATTCTGTTCTTCAGAGTACAGAAATATTTACTAATGTTGTAGAATTTTTTTTTTTTTGTCGAATGTTATAGAAATTTAAAATTAGCTTTATGCTTTTAGTTTGTTTTTTATCCAACCAAACAAATTTTTTTGCCAAATCAACCCAAAAAATGTCGGTTCTAGTTCGGTATATATTTCACACAACTCGCAAGCAAATGGATTCAAAGCAATTTTGAAGCTTTAGAGGCAATAAAAAATGTGGCCACAGAAACTAATAAAAGAGACTCAAAATGTATTAAGAAACCATCCTTCAATAAGAGTCATCTGGATAAATTAAACACCAGAAATTCTCAAAAATACCAGATTAATTAAACTTAATTTTAAATTAAAGAAATATGAATAAACTTACCAATTTTAAATTTGTGAAAGAATTAATTTAAATGTGAATAAACTTGATTAATCTATCTATAATATAATAAGAGGCCAGCACTCTCCAGAAATGGACACGTGGCTAGCCTCTCTATTCGACACCTGTCCTATCTTTTACGAAACGCAGCGTTTTTGCACAATTTCTTTCCCTTTTTCGCGACTGTCAAGAATCCTTGTGCCGCAACCTTCAACGAAAACGCGT